TCAGCAATACTTTAGAGTGCTGGAAATACGAAATCTGTGTTCCAAACCAAAGTGGTCAACTCCTACGTTAGAAAGAAGTTACTGGATAGGTAGGATGATGGAGATCTTGCATGTTATGAAAATACTGATTCAAAGCGTAGTGTAAAGAGTATGCTGAAAAGAAAGCCACAGAATACATGAAGGTGAGGATGAAGTGCAAAACATTGTGTACAAGATTATGGTGCTAGAAATTAACCTGGCAGTTGATCATGTCTGTTCTGCAATGCTACTGAAATAACCCTTTCTCCGAGTTAGTATTTCAGGAAGTGTTTATAAGAATTTATAACTACTTTCTTTTGTATCTGCCTTCTAAGTTTTGGTGAGACTTCAACATAAAGTGCATGTTAATTAGTTATTTTTGTTGTTTTAGTTGACAAGGGCAAGCAGCAGCGTCCCAAGAGCTCGTGCACACAGACTCCAGCCTCCACAGATGTGCATTCGCCAGGCACAAAAACAGCCGAGTTGACACAGTACAAAACAAAATGTGAGACCCAAAGTGGAATCATCCTGCAGCTGAAAAAATTCCTGACAAGCAGTAACCAGAAGTTTGAAGCATTAACAGTTGTGATCCAGCACCTGCAGTCTGAGGTAAAAACCCACAGCTAATCAGTTTTGGCTTTGATATTTTTAATTATTTTCGACAAGGGCTTCTGAAAATACTAATATACGGCTACATAACATCTGTGTTTCCATTCCAATGATTTCTCTTTTCCTGTGGAGGTAGCAGTAAACCTGCTCCTGACATCAGTTGGGTAGAAGAAAAAAACAAACCCTGACATGGGGTTTTATGGCCTCTTTGCAGCTTCACATCCTTTTTAGAAGAGAAGTTTTTAAATGTTTGTAGTCAGAGAGTCCTTCAGGGTCGAGTATCTTTCCAAGTACGTACTTCATGTTCTGCCCTTGTAGGAAGGACTAGTTTCAAAAGATAATCTGCATGACCTTGCTTTGTTATCTGATATTGGATGGAAGAGTATATGAGGTAGATATGGTTTTGAGCTATTCGGAATAAAGTGTGAGTTATAATGGTTGTATTTATTGAATCCTGCATTACTGGTGGTGTCTTAAAATTATCAACAATTTCATTTAAAAAAAAATTAGAAATGCACCTAGAATTTAGAGTGGAATTAATCTGATGAGGTTTAATGTTTATTTGTTCTAAACTGTTTGACATACGTAATGACCTAATCAGTTTGATATTACACTAGAAATTTTTGGTCTGCTTTGAAAACTTTTGAGAGAAGAAAAATCTGAAGTTAAGGATACTGTAACATTTATGGATTTACACTGCAACAATTGATGCAGGCTTTAATAGCAGTTTCTTCTGCATTTATAACTAATGTTCCAAGATTGGTATCAATTTTATTTCAACTGTTCTGATATGTGGTGATTTTATAGTCTGGTATACAAAAAAGCATGGAGCGGTCTTAGTATGCTGCCATAAATGTAACATTCTTGGGTGATAGTATCTGTTTGTTTTCATTTCATCTAAAAATACTGCATTTAAATCCAAGTCTGGTTCAACTCAGTAAGAGCAGTGGCTCTTAGCCAGTTTTGTGGGTTTGGTTTGGTTGGGTTTTTCAGACTCTTGATTGGAACACCTTTCTCTACTAAGGAGCTAGTTTAAGATCTTCAAAGCAATTTGATACAATATTTTTGGATGCCTGTCATCTAATATGAAATTGTGAAATTTATATGTGAAATTCTCACTGCTAAACTTCTGTGCAGTCTTCTAATTACTGTATAATAAGCACCTTGATTTTTGGTAACTTTTATAATTAAATGTCTTGGCCTAGATTCTTCTCTCAGATTTTGTTTTACAACTTTTTGAAATTCAAGAATACTTTATCAATGTCATATTTCATGAGAAGAAGCCTGTCATACATATTTACTTCTTCCAGACTGTTTTACAGGTCACTTAATCTAAACATGATTTTTTTTTTAGAATGGGAATGGTTATTTTTTTTAAAAAAAAAAAAAGAAAAAATAAAAAAGGTGATGTTGAAGATGGAGGGAAGAGAGAACTGCATGGAGGAAACTAGTAATTTTGCTCCTTCTTCTCTTCATTGTTCTTTTGCAGAAGGAAAGAAAAAAAATTTATTTCTATCAAATTGTATAAAATTAGTAACCTTGGAGAGTTAAATCTAAGCACATGAAACTGGGCTAAATATGACGTATTGATGTACTTTCATACCAGTTATTGGTATTGATGTTGTTCTCTCCTTTCCCAGGATAAGCCAATGCTTGCTGAAGAGTCACTGTCTTATTTTTGCGTACCTACTATAGGGGTGAGGATGACTCTTCTGCCATGGTGGTGTAAGGAATACTCAGAATCTGGTATTTAGCTAGGGGAAACATCCTGTAGGATTTCTGTGGTTTAGGAAACACTGTGAAGAGTTGTTTTGGTTTTGCGGTTTGGTTTGGTTAGTTGGTTTGGCCATATATTTATTCTTCTGAAGTATCTCCTGGGGACCCCTTTTTATGTAGTTTTCAAACTCGTTGAGTAAACTCAGGGAGAAGCTTGGAGTTAGTTTTTAGCTTGTAAGGCAGGGGCTTGTAGCTGAACTACTGCAGAGCCAACTGAAAGTAGCTTCAGCTTTTCTGATTTAAAAAAAAAAAAAATCCTGCTTAACTGATTACATGAAGAACAAATCTGTGCTTCCATTCCTCCTGGTAGAGCAAGTGTGAAGTGACAGGATGCAATGTAAGGTGATGAAACCACTTGCTGTAACCAGGGGAAGGTCCTGCTCTGGACTCCTCTGGTGCTGGTCTGTCCCTGCAGAAGGCTGATTCAGCGTGCAACTACCAGAAAGCTAACCCAGCCAAAGAGAGAGCATTTCTTTACCAGGTTAGCGACATGGACTGTCCTAATGTGTGGTCAGAGCCAGCACAAGGGTGAGATGGGGTTGAGGACAGGCTGCCTGGCCAAATAGAGAAAAGAGCTGGAGTGGGCTCTTGGGTCTCTTTGAGACTATGCAGCCCAGCCTGAGCCTCTCCCACTTTCCCTGCAAAGCTGAAGTTACTGGGAGATGATTTCAGCTCTTGGGTTTGTTTGGGTTTGCTTGCCTTTTTTTTTTTTTTGCTTCTCTTTTTTTTTTTTTGTCAAGAGAAGAGGTTCCAGTGCATTTCTGCACAAAAGTTTAAAGTTGCTTCTGATGAGCTTGTTTGAAATAAGATAACTGCGAATGAAATCAGGATTTGCTGGCAATGACTTCTGTTGAAAATGCAGCCAGCCCATCTGCAGTTAAGTTGAGAGGCTGCTGTCAAAGGGTTAAATGAGATTGAGCAATGCTGCTGGGCTGTTTCTAGCCCAGCAAGAATCTCTGGCAAAACTCTGCCTGAGCTCAAACCTGTTTGTTGCAAGTGTTATCTTGGAGCTGTCAATACTGACAGCTGGCTCTGATAATACCTTCACCCTCAAGCTGTCAGGCTTTGTCCAGGGAATTTCTATGCTTAACTGCCTTTACCAAGACTCTTCTGAATTTTAAAAATCCTAAAAACCCAATTTCTACCTTGCAGAAGCTACTGTTGCACTGAGTTAATACCAGATGGAAACCCTCTTGGCATCCAGAACACTTGGTGGCAACGAACGGTGTGGCTGACAAGAACGTCACACTGTACCGAGTTTTTTCCGTTGTTAGAGCAGCTGTACGTGCGCTAGCGCTGTTAGAAACGTGTGTCAGACTGCAGGCTGATCACAAAAGCAAGCTCAGTCTTTCTAGACTACTGCACTCCCCCTGATCCCCTGGTAATTCCTGTGACTTTGTAACTATTTTCCTGTTTTATAAGCTGAAATGAGAAAGGAAAAGTGGCAGTACAGAGGAAATGGTGAAATCAGTCACTTACAATAGTGCATGAAGTGCCAAGGAAAGCTGTCTTCCGTTAACCTTCAACTGCATTAAGCTCTGAAATTTGCACCACTGCATAACTTCCCCTGATATTCATTTTGCAGATTAATTTTGAATTTATTTCTTGTCCCTTCAGTAACAGATGCATTCACAGAGGCTTTAAGTGCATGGTTTAGCACATCTGGGGTAAGTCAGGCCGTGACTGCCACTTCTGCAGCCCTGCCCTCTCCTCCCTTGCTCTCGTGTCTGCACAGGCCGGTGCTCGCCTGGCCTTGAGCAGCCAGCTAAGGCACCCAGGAAGGAAAAAAAAAAAAATTATTATGGGTCTAGTGTTAGAGATCTGTCCATACCCAAAGTGTTATGGGTATGCCCCCATGCAGTGGTTCACCACGGGCAGGAGTGGGAGTGAAGAACCACCAGCGCCGGGGTGGAGTGGGAACGTGAGCCCGAGAGGTCTGCAGCTGTGGGTAGGAGCCAAGTGCTCCCTTGAGAAGGAAAATCCCAAACTCGGATTACTTTAGTGTGATGTCTTGCAAAAGTACGTCACCAGCTGATGAGACCGGGGCTTGCATGAGCCTCTCCGCTTCACCTCCTGAGGGGTGCTCGGCCCCGGCCTCAGGGCTGGCCCCTGCAAGGCTGCATCAGCGCTTCAACCGAGGAGTTTGAGCCTCTAACTCACTGCCGTGGTATAAACTCTTACATTTCAGGGGGCAAAGGGTGTTTGATTTAGCAGCACGGTACTAGCTTGGTTCTATATCTGGGTTTGACCGTTTAAGGGAGATCTAGCTTTCGCCTGAAAAGGTAATGTGTTGTTAGAGTGACTTGAACAGCTTTGTGGCCATTCAAGGTGTGAATTGACAAATACTGCCTTTTCATCCTCTCATTTTAATGCATAAATTGCCACATTCAGAACTACTCAGGCTGTTTAAAAAAAAAAAACTTTAGATGGTAAAACATTTAATTATTATAAACATCCATTTCTGTTCTAGTTTAATAAATTAATCTGTTTCGAGAGCTCTCAACAGATTCTGCTGTAGAAATGAGCTTCAGATTTGTGTCTGTGCCACAGGGCGCTACAGCAATGAGAAGAAACTAAATTTCACTGTTTTGCTTCTCTTGGTATGGTTACTGACTGAAAGACGGGTACTTACAGTTCAAACTTTACAGGAAGATTGGTATTTACACTTCAAACTTTACTTGGGAATGACTGTGGTGACATCTTCAAGAAGTTTCCTTCATAGAGGGAAATGCCATTTGAGAGGCTGTAGAGCCTTGACAATAATATGTGGATACCACTAATTGTGGATGTGACACAGGAAGCAACGTAAGTAATGTGCTAGAAATTGTGTGGCTGAAACAGGCTTCAGTATTCTTGGTGGAAATAGAAATTAACCATTAGTATATGAGCTACTATAACTGGCATTTCCTGACATGTGGATGACTGAGAGTCAAGATACCAGTTTTCTTGGAAACTTCTTAGCACTTTAAAGAAGGGTTTTTTTCCATCTTGGAATACATGGACACATGTATCAGAAAAATTTGTCCTGGCCTTTGTGGAAGGTCATCGAAAAACATTTATGTTTATCAAATGATAAATGCATATCTAGCTTAAAGAGCAGAAGTAGACATTGCATCACTAAACCCAAGACCATTTAGAGTAAAAGGAAGAGTTTTGAAACAGTCATATTTTTGGCCTATAGATCCAAAATATATTGGCAGGTCTATTGTTTAGAACAGCCGTCT